GAAGGACTGTTAAATATATAAAGATTATAAAGATATCGTTAGCAGAGATTTAGCTCAAACAATGTGCAGAAAACAAGCTGGAGCAAGGCAATTAACAGAGCCAGAGGAGCCCGTAGGCGGCAGCAAAGGTTGTAACAGGACATCATCTAAATCCCAGAAACAGAGGGGAGAGACATGCTGCAGAAGAACAGGCACAGAGTAACTGCTGGAAGGCTGAGTATCACGGGAGGGCAGGTGGTGCAGTTGCAGAGGCAAACAGTGAAGGGGAGAAACTGCTATGTTGTTCATGGATACAGAAAGTCCATCGGAAAGAACCCAGCATCGATTCTGGACAAAGTTTTCTGTAAATTCTGTGTGTCCTCTGCTGGACCAAGAGCATATACAAAAGCATGAAGTCTGTTCTCTGCTTAAGGGTGAATGCCTGGCCACCTTCCCTGAATTAGGGGCACCTTACATATCTTCACTCAACCTTTTATGGAAATCATAGTGAGCTGATTGGGAAAGAAGAAGTAAAACTCCCTATTCAGAGGCAATATAATCAGCCTTGTTAAAATCTTAAGGATATATACACATACACACATGTATATTTTTTCAAGACATACCTCTTGAAAAAGTATTTACTCTTCTCCCTCTGTTCCTTGTTTCCATTTGTTTTGATTTCATTTAAAATTGAGAGGTTCATACATGAGTATAAACTTCTAATCTTCTTATGCCCCAACCCGAAAAAATTATGACATCTTCTCCTATAATTAGAATTCACAAATGTACACACACACACACACACACACACACACACACACACACACGCCAGTCTCATCCCCAGTTCACCCATGACAGCCTTCCCTGTTCTTCCCTGTTCCCCTGCGCCCATCTCCTGTTCAGACCATGCATTAGAATTTCCTTGGCACCCCAACAAGAGCTTCCAACGTTCAGGAACTACCCCTGGTTATGAAAATGTCTAGTAAGTCAGTTTTCTCTAGTGACCTTGGGAATCACTGTGGCTTGTAATGCTCAAAGGTTCCCAACTCCACAAACAGTGATCTGAGGCAGGTCAGTTCTGAAACACAAGCCATTCCTCCTCATGCCCAAGTCTGAGCAGCAGTGGTCAGCTTATCACTTGTCCTTGCTTCACCAGCATCATCACTCGGGAGGAAAAAAGCCAAGGTTAACTCCAGTCTGTGATGAGCATGGGTGAAGAGAGCCCCAGAAATAGGCCATATACGCCAGGCACATACTTTCCATGTCTCAAGAGTTCTACCTGAAAAGCCCAAAGGTGCATTTTGATTTCCTGGCTATATTAGAAGGTTTCTTCAATGATAACTTTGGCCTAAGATATTTGTGTCTCAGTTAAGACAAAGATACGAAGGGAAGATCTCCATGGAAAGTATATTCTTGAATGTTCTAAAACTTCCACTTCATTGTAGTAGTATATTGTCCTTAAAAGTGATCAGCGGGACTCACTCTCTGGAAGCATTCACCCGTGTCATCTTCCTCATCTGTGCACATTTACAGCTGGTGACCCATGTCCTATCCTAAATAATGACAAGCAGAGGAGAAAAAGTCCATCCTCAACATTAACACTTTGTTTTACTTCAAAAGTGGCCAAACGCCGTCTGAGTGACACCATTGCCAGGCAGTGAGGACCCCTTATCTTCTGTCCAAGCCTGAATGGGTAGTTTGGGAACAATGAGGTCCACATACCTTCCAGCAGGTCTCTGGCCAGACCAGGTTCTGCCCCCGTGGACCGAACAAAGTCTGACAGGACTGCGTCCATATCAAGCGTCATAGGATCATGTAGAAGTGCTGCCCAGCACTCAGCCGAGGGCGGGTTTGGAAGCAGGCTAGAGACCATCCATCTGCAGGAGACAAGAGAAGGGCACCTCACCATGCAATGGACCAGAGGGAATGTGCATGCACACACATGCATGCACACGAGTGTACATGCGTGCATGCACACACACACACACACACACACCCCTCAGAGTCCCAGATGCCAGAAGAAATCCTTACCACCTCCGTTATACAGTTCTGAGTTCGTTTTTGAATATTTCCCTTCCTTTACACGCAAGCTGCTACATCATTAAAGCCAACCTAAGGCATCAGTCCTCTGCAGCACTGTGAGTGAGATGGGACACTGGGATCTGTGCTGTGTCTCCCAACATGCTGACGTCTAATCTATTGGCTATTAGAGAGACTCCAAGTTCAGTCCTGGCTGACTGGAACTCCATACTTACTCATGGTGACTGCTAAAATATCTGCTGCCTCCATGAGTTTCCACTTTCACAGCGACAACCCCACTGTATTCACAGGATGTCAGATGTCAGCTGCAGGCCGAGGGACAAGATGCCTGAAACAGCTGGTGAGTTTGTCACCTGGAGAAACCAGTTTCGGAGCCACTTGTATTCTCGGAGAAGGGTGATAAGAAATAGATGCATCTAGCATCACGTAGATGACTGATCAAATGTGGCCCTCTATCTGTTTTATACATAAAATGTTATTGGAAGTCAGTCACCAGCACATGAGTTGAGTAGCAGAGACCATGAAGTCCACAGAATTAAAGTGATCACCATGTGGGCCTCTATGGGAAGTTCACTGATGCCAGGACAGATGCTGCACAATTTTATACCATCAAGTACATGTTTAATTTTACACACTGCATGGTGTTGATGAATACCTTTTGCTCCTCCTTCTCTGATAATCAGAGGATGGGAGTTCTCAGTGAGCAGATTTTGTATCTTTGGAGCAAGGCACACTGGCCTTATTTGGCTGGCAACGACAGGGTGTTAACTGCTGTGGGAAGGGAAGGTAAAAATCCCTAATGCCAGGATGTGGGGACCGAGGTCTCAGGCAGGAGGTCATAATTTCAGAGCTAGCCATTTGTAATGTCCTATCTGCATCTGGCTCCTACTTTGGAGTAAGATTTGGTTGGTGTGGCTAAAAACGAAGAAATGGTTTGACCTGATGTATGTGGCACCAGTTAGGAGACTCCTTCCTCCGCCTCAAGCACCGCAGCTTCAGCCGCAAGAGTCACCTCTTCTGTCACTGCCACCTGGGGACAAATGAGAGCACAAGGGCATGTTATCTCCTCTCCTGTGCTTTACTCTTCAACAAAAGCAGCTGCATTCAAGGTAGGGGAGAGTTGCTAGAGGTAGGTCCTTTGCTTCCTGGCTGCCATGGGTGCTTCCTGGCCAGTTGATCACCAGCTCAAAGTGGAGCCTGGCAAGAGAGGATGGTCTCAACTTCCTCTTGGCAAGCACCTGGGATCATAATCATGGGACGGACTCATTCTAAACCTTGCTATTAACTTCGGGGTCAATACATGTAATCTGAACTACCGTTTCAACCACACAGTTCACTAATGTCACTTTCACCTCCGGAACATTTTGTCTTTCTCAATGGAAACTGGCCCCACTAGACACTGGATCCCTATTGCTACTCCCCTTAGAACCTGGCAACCTCCATTTTACTTCCTGCTTCTATGAATTAGACTATATACTCTTATACATAAAATCTCACAGTATTTATCTTTTTATGATTAGCTATTTCACTTAGCATAAGTTCATCAAAGTTCATGTAAATTATAGATTGTCAGAATTTGAAACACTATGAACTTCAGTTGCAAGATTTGGAGGACTGAGTTGGATCTGACCTGCCAGCCTCTTTCTTGAGGATTAGTTTTCACAGTGCAGGAAGGTGATGTGTAAGGAGGAAAAAGAAAACAATAGTCATACCCAGCTACAATGCCTATGAACACCAACAATGACCAGCACATTATGATATCCCTAAAGGTGCAATATAATTTGCATTGGTATGGATCTTGGTTTATTGATACGAATTTAAGGTCAATTTTGTTATATGTATATGTATTTCTGACCTTGATTAAGGTATTGTGTTTGTGTAGCTCATTTAAAAGTGTAATATATAATTTAAAAATATAGGTGAATAGATAATCATCTATAATAGTCAAGTTTGTAGTCATGTTAGTTTTCTAGATAGATATAGATATATTTCAGTTAGTTAGGTCTTCTTCAAATATTTCAGAGACCTTCAGAATATGACATTTAAAATGTTTAAAAAATTTAGGACTTTTCATGACAGTGAGACATATATGCTCCTGGCAGTACCAATCTACTTCAAAAGGAATATGGGCATTGAAGAGGCTCCTTATGGAGTTTGTTAGATGAACTGGACATGCAAGATTCACAGAGAAATGACTGCTGAACTTGCCTAAAGGTGAGATGATCCTTCAGGGTTTCTGCTTCATGAAGGAGTCTGTGAGACATTCTGCAGGATACAGAAGAAAGTGACTGAACTGTCTTTGAAATTTCCTGATTCATTGAAAAGTCTGCCGAATACTATGGGCCTGTAGGCTGAAGATGGATGCTCCAATGGTTCAGAAAAACTTAGGGTGACTGTCCAGGCAGCTTGAAGTCTCTGTCAATTCTAGAATTTTGAAAGTTGATTACAATGTACTTCCTGTTTACTTAGGTAATATTATATCCTTCTGGAGTTGAAAAACTTCTAGTTATAATTTTCCTTAGTTATGTTAAAGTTAAAGCCTTCCTTTTTGTTTAAACAGAAATGGGAAAATGGTGTAGGAGGTCCTTCTGTCTATGTGTTACTTTCATTGGTTAATAAAGGAGCTGCTTTGGGACTATAGCAGAGCTGTAGGGGAACAGAGCTAGGTGGGAAAAACTAAACAGAATTCTGGGAGTAAGAAGGCAGAGTCCAGGAATGCCATGGATCTGCCGCCATCAGAGCTAGACATGCTGAAACTTTGCTGGTAGGCACCACCTCATTGTGATATACATGGGTTAAATTAAGATGTAAGAGTTAGCCAATAAGAAGCTAGAGTTAATGTGCCAAGCAATGATTTAATTAATATAATTTCTGTGTGGTTATTTCGATTCTGGGAAGCCAGGACAAACAAGCGGGCTCTCCTGCAATGGTGCAATGGTGGCACTTACATCTTGGTGGTAATTAGCAGCTGTATAATTGGACTTATGACCATTGTTATGACTACCTTGTTATGACCACCTTGGAACCATATCTTTGCTTTAAGAGGTTGCTATGGACAACTTGTTATAGGTTCTGTTTCTATATCCCTACCTATTTGTCTTCTATCTCCCCCCCCCATTTTGAAACCCTCTACTCCTGAACTATAAAAACATTCCTTACCCATGTACAACGCAGATCTTTTAAACTACCTTTATGGAGAGACAGCCTTGTACATGAATATAAAAACTTTAATTAATTACTTGCTTTTAATCTTAATTAAAGGCATGAAGGGCTAGGGTAGCACAGGTCTGGAGTGCAGGCTAGTCTCGGGGTCAGGAAAAGGCCCTTGGTAGAGCACAGGCTGGGGGCTAGTGGCTTACCATGTGTGAACCTCCACTGTATCCTAACTCCCTGATTTGGACAGTGAATAACCAGTGGAATCCTGTTCTCTTGATTTGAAAAATGATGCCAAGAACATCCCTGCCTCTCAAAATAGCTGAAAGGATGAAAGAAAATGATGTTTCATGAACACACTCCATTGTTACCATTAGTGACATAGATTTGAAACACACAGCTGTCTAGTATTGAGGATCTTTGTTCTATCTTATATATGCACAAATCCCTACTATGAAGAGTAACATATCAAAAAGAGGCACACATGCTTCAATCCATTCTACCCTGCAATGGAGAAGCCCATTCTGGTGAGAGGCTCACAGATGCACAGATAACACTCGGGATATATATGGCACCTCAGCTCAGATGCCAGCATTCCTCTCTTCAGACCATCTGCCTCCTTCATCCCTGTGACTTGAGATAAGTTCAGTGACACTGGCTTATGTGTATGTCACATTAGTGAGATAAAGCACTCGTGGGTCTTAGTTCAGAGGAAAATTGGGAAAGCCTTGGAATGAAAGGATATGAGGTTAACAAAGTGCCCAATGTGCACAATCAATCTTAAAGCAAGTTTCCATGTGCTACAGCTAGGGACACATATTGATCTTTGAGTAATTGCAGCTGCAACAACGCAATGCATCCACAAAACTTACATTAAAAGGCCTGGGTGAGGAGGGAGGTGAAGCAGCAAGGCAGAAGGAACAGGCAAAGAGCCTGGGGAGATGACTGAAAATAGTCAGGGCTGCATGATAATTAAACAAAAGTGGCTATAGCAATATCTGGTTCCCAGGATGCAGATTTTCCAACTTGGCCACTTGGCCTTTTTCATCTTTTCTTTGATAAAGTTCATTTTCTAAAATGACTGGAAGCAGGGACTGCAGAGAACTCTATAAACAAAGACAGGCAGCTCCAAGGTTGAGAAGGAGGCACATGTGTGCACTCTGAGCCCCTTCCACCTGTACATCAGAGCAGACAGGATGGAGAGAGGCAGAGCTTTAGATCCATGGACCGCTGGCTCTTAGAACACAGAACAGGGTGGATTAACAACAAATTGGAACACTAAAATTGTAAATAGTTGGGTGGTAGTGGCATACACCTTTAATCCCAGCAGTTGGGAGGTGGGAGCATGAGAATCTCTGTGAGTTTGAGGCCAGCCTGGTCTACAGAGCAAGTTCCAGGACAGTCAAGACCACACAGAGAAACTGTGTCTTGGAAAACTAGGAAGAATAATATCAATGGCTTTTCAATCCTCCAATTCCTGGACTATTGTGTCCCTTCCTTCCCTCACTTCCCCTTGTCCTTCCTCCTCCTCTTCCTCCTTTTGTGGTTTATTTCTGAGTCTGATTTTATTACTTTTTATTTTCTTTCTCTTTCTTTTGGTTAGCGTACCTAAGATTTGTTAATCATACTTACAGTCTTTCAAAGAACTCCTTAGTAGATTCTATGTGTTGTTCACAAAGTCTCAGGATGCATCCTAGGCTGCCTTTCAACTTGGTATTATCCTGTTGCAACCTCCTGAGCACTAGCAAGTGTGGGAACTACAGGTCTAGTTAGATTCCTATACTTTTGGACTTAGATAGAAAACATCGATGTATATACTTTTAAAGTATTTTTTCTGGAACCAGTGAGATGGTTCAGCAGGTCAAGGTGCATGCAGCCAAAACTGACAACTTGAGTTTGGTCCCTGGGAATCACATAGTATAAGGAGGGAACTGACTCCCCTTCCCCTACACACACTATTCCTCTGACCCCTACTCCTCTGACCTCCCCACATATATCTCATAGAGCCCACATATATGCCCACATAAATAGATGCACACACACAAACACATACTAAATGTAAGTAAGATATTTTTCAATGAAAAATTTAGTACGTATAAAAATAGACAAAAGAATATATGATAATTGTCTTTCTGTGTCTGGGCTCCCTCACTCAAGATGCTTTGTAGCTCCATCCATTTTCCTGCAAAATTCAAGATGTCGTTATTTTTTTCTGCTGAGGAGTACTCCATTGTGTAAATGTACCACATTTTCCTTATCCATTCTTCAATCGAGGGGCATTTAGGTTGTTTCCAGGTTCTGGCTATGACAAACAAAGCTGCTATGAACATAGTTGAGCACATGTCCTTGTGGCACGACTGAGCATCCTTTGGCTATACACCCAAAAGTGGTATTACTGGGTCTTGAGGAAGGTTGTTTCCTAATTTTCTAAGAAATCGCCACACTGACATCCAAAGGGGTTGTACCAGCTTGCATTCCCATCAGCAATGCAGAAGTTTTCCCTTTTCCCCACAACCTCTCCAGCATAAATTGTCATCAGTGTTTTTGATCTTGGCCATTCTTACAGGTGTAAGATGGAATCTCAGAGTTGTTTTGGTTTGCATTTCTCTGATGACTAAGGTCTCATAGGTGGTTTTTAAACATAAAGCAAAGAAAATCAGCCTACAAATCACAATCCCAGAGAACTTAGACAACAATGAGGACACTAAGAGAGACTTACATAGATCTAATCTACATGGGAAGTAGAAAAAGACAAGATCTCCCAAATAAATTGGGAGCATGGGGACTTTAGGGGGAGGGCTGAAGAGGGAGGGGAGAGGCAGGGAGGGGAACAGAGAAAAATGTAGAGCTCAATAAAAATCAATAATAAAAGAATAT